ATTGCACATTTCGCTATTTGTGTAGGTTCCCGCAAAAATGGCCGTAAGTTGTACACGAAAACACCTGTTGTATTAAATTATAGATGAACAATGACAACTGTTGACAGCGATGTATTATTTTCGCAAATTCTGTATATTTTCACTCCATACTTTTTGGTTGTTTTAAATTTGAGTTATTTCACTAAAACGCAACATTCAATTGGTTTTGCGGATATCGATTCGATAGAAAGAGCAAGCAATGGCCTAAAGCTTTGATTCTCACCATTTGTTCTAAACTTTTTTCTATGTAACTTCTTACAAAAAAGTAACAGGGTGTAAAAGCATGCAACTAATTTTAAATTATTCTTCAAAGCCTTTTTAAGGTCATCGGAATGCAGTTACATGTAGTAAAAGATTATATAACTATTACTCAGCTGAACTTAATGCTCATTCCAGTACCAATTGAAAGCTGAGAACTATATAGTCCATTAAAGGCAATAAATTTGAATAATGCCTCACAAGAATAGTAACCGCCGTATCTGCCTTTCTATCTCTGCGGGAGGGATTCGTAATTTTGCGTGGGATAAAATTTACTGCTGTTTACATAACCGAAAATGTATCGACGGTAAATACGTAAGCATCTTTAAACATCGGGAGGACGAACTTTGAAGGCTTGAAAGTGAGCGCTACGATAGACATTTTTCTTACGTAATTATAATGTTGGACAATTTGTATCATGGAAACAATAACTTCAAACACGATTTGATTGTGCATAAAATAATAACTTTCATTTAACGGACATGAATGTGGTAAACTAATATTTACTTACACAGAGAACAAATTCCTTGTTGTCAATAAATGTCAAATATAGTAAATAAATGTTGGTTTTCGATATGATCTAACAATAACAACTTTCTCAGAAACAAAAATGTATTCCAGTATATTAAACAAACTCTGGTATAAAAGAATAGATAGACTGGGATTATCGTATATATTCGATGGAGTGAAGAATATTAGTTTGGATAAAATAAATTACTTATTTAAACAAAATTTATAGTTTATATGTAACAAAGAGTTCTTCTAAGATAAATAAATAATTTAATGTGTAACAAGTGCCAAGTGTAAGACGTTATAGTGCAAGAAAATTGGTTATTGTTAAAGAAATTCAATAAAATTCAAATACTTGCGAGTCAAATAAGTTTATTTTTTATTAAAGTATATACAGTATGCTATGCCTAAAGATTTTAATCCCTCATTTTTTCTTTTCTGTAGTCTCAGATTTGTTGGTGTGCTAGAACATAAACTATATTATTATTAATATTCGCGTTGGCGAGAAACAATCTAAGTAATTTGTTTGGTTGCCTTATTTATACCACTCTGGTATATGCTCGGGATGGTATGGTTTGTTGAGCCTACTGAGCCAACTGAGCCTATTGCACTTACGTTTTTGGCAATAATTCGCTTTATGGTACTCTAGTATATTTTATCACTATCTTTGAGTGCTGGGCTAGGGCACTAAAGTTTATGTGTGTGGCCTCTTTAGAGTGCCTGTATGGAATTGAATTTTGCCTCCTTGGATTTTTAGGCGTATCTAAATTTGTGTATTTATTGGGATTTTTTATTAAATCACTATAAATATAGTATTACCGTATTTAACAATAAATGAAATTTGGAGCGACAAGTACTGGTGAGGATCCTTCGATGGTTATTGAACTAAAAAGCATGAGGGTTGACGATCGACCACGGTCCTTGATGGGTCCGCAGATGTCCTGTAGTGAAATTCGCCTTAGCTCTGCACCATTGGCCTCTCTGGAATCTTTGACATCTTTGGAATATTGCCAACTGCAACTGATGATCGACTTGGGTTCTTGACATGGTACTTTTATTGCCATTTTGCGGTTTCCTGAATTCGTTATATTCGGAAATTCTTTTTTCAGTTTCGGAAATTCGAAACTGAGGCGATTTTAACTTTTCGCAGCGCGGCGTAGGCGGCTGCTCTGCCGACAGGATCGGCCTCTAGCGGTATCGTTTACTGCGGTTTTAGATTTTGGGGTGGCTCCGTACTTCTTAGGAACTTCGACGGAAATTTTTGGAAACAGGTGAAAACTTCCATTTTCGCGCCGCGGTTCGATTGGAAAGTTGAGCGAAAGTTTGAAATTCTCGGAACCTGGAGTACTACAATAAATTATACAAAGTAACTATTTAATCAAATAGCGACAGTTAGGTTAGATATATTTGTAACTAATTTTATTTCAAAAATTTCATCACATTCGATAAGCTTCGCAGCAAATCTCTCAAATTTTCTCACAATTCAGAATACTTTCATTATTTTTAAGGATATAAATAAGTTTTTTATTGAATCATATTACTTAAATACATTTTATGTTTAATTTTTTATCACAATGAACAAGGAACTTTAACAAGGATGTAGAGTAATTACATCTACCATGCATGGTATTTTGAAGTTACCTAACAAATATCATTTGGCAGTTGGTAAATAAAACATTTCACCATATAAAACTCTTTCTTAGACTTCGATTCAATACTTTTAAAAACATTCTTGCAAAATTTGATATCTTTTAACCATGAACTACAAAATCAGGGCGTATCAGTTTATTTCAAAATTGCATGATTTCTTTCTTTCAGTGAATAATCTAATGAATACGTTGATAATGGTCTTATGATATGAATAAATATTAATGGGTACGCATTGTAAATTGAAAAATAATTAGGTACGCTCTTGAGAAACACGTTCATTTGATACATATTGTTAGTATGATACACCTATCTATCAAAAATCTAATTTTAATTGCTTTTGAGAAAATTCCTCACTGTAAATAAAGAAGTGTACCTACATTTTTCCATTATTGTTTATTTGTAAGTGAGTTAAACAGTATTTGTTATTAAATAATTAACAAGAAAATAGATATTTTAATGTCAAAAACAACACCAACTACTATTATTATAACTTTCTAAGAAATGTGAGCGTGCTTTTTGGACCGCTACTTTTTAAAGTGGCGTGATCACGAATTTAATTTAAGCATGACTGAGCTGTTGCATCTGATATTAGAAAAAAAAACTATTCGATATCACTCACACTTTTGCTTGGAAAAAAAATATATGCTGGTACAATGTGAAAGTTTTAAAAAATACTTACGATTTGGTTCCATAAGTACTATAACTATAACTAAACATTAAAAGAGCAAATACAATTATTACATTTTATTATGTTTAAATGCATTTAATTGGTTTATTTTTCATTTTTAATTTGTGCGTTTTTATTACTACACTTTAAAGAGTAAATTAAAAATGTGATTGTTTGACTACAGTTGTTAAATAAATGCACTTTCGGTCAAATTTTAACATCGGATATTAACCCATTAAATTACAAAACTGTAACTTTAGTTTAATTTATTTTTCTTTTAACTGCGCTAGTCTAGTCTAAATATTACATCTGATGTCATTTTTCTTAAAAAAATTTTTTAGATTTAGTGGTTGAACCAAGGAATCCTCTAGGATTCTAACACCACCTTTGATTTATAAATATTTTATCAATCGCTAGCTATTTGTGTTTTGAAAATAACAAATAGGATACCTATATTTAGAGAAAAGTCCGTATTTATAAAATTTATTTACAAAAAAATACATTTTCATGTTATCGAACTTATGACTAATCTAGATTTATTAACGACATTTCTTATTAGAATCTAAATACAATAAAAATAATATTGAATAGAATATTCATAAAAATTCTATTATGAAAAAAACAGAAACGGTCACATAGGTACTCGAAATAAATTAATTCGCGAAAATTATTTATCCGGACATGTAAATATAAAACAGAATAAATAATATTGTCTAAAATATTCAAAAACAAATTTACGGTCCTGTTATCGAATTAAATTTTTACAGCAAATCTTTTAATTTTATTTTCTTTTTAAGAATCCTGACAATCATTTCGAGATAAAATAAATTATTCGAAATAAAGATCAACATTTATGAAGTGGATAATTAATAAACATCTGTATTTTATTTCTTTTATATATGTACTTCAATATTAAAAAATAAATAAAAAAAATTTCAAAGCATCCATCCGATCATAAATATTTTTTTACTGTAGTGGTATGGTGAAATATTTTTTATTATAGCACATATAGATGTAAAATTCCATTAAAATTGTAGATCAGATCCTGGTTACAGTGAAATATTTTTATAAATAATCATTCAACAATCATTTTTTGTAGTGTGAAGGCGAAATATAAGTTATTATATTATATAAGGCGTTATTTATTTTTAAATTTACTTCAGGATAATCAGCTCTGTGGATAATAAGTAATAGTCAAAATGTCTTTTTGTAAATAAAATTATTAGATAAATAGGTACATACCTACTTGCTCCTTACTCCTTACAAAAATAATTGTATAGAAAAAAACAACCAGGGCGCATATCAAGATCAAAAAATCTCCAAATATGTGGTGCAAGAAAGGGAAAAATGACAGGTAGTTGTCGCGTTTTTGCGCCTGTCTATACAGGGAATAAGTTATCTTGTAGTTCGGTATCTGTTAAGCCCGCGAATTCCATATTTGCTCCAGGCAAAAAAGTACATTTTTATCCTCATCATCAATTTTTCTGCAGTACCTCACATTAGTTTTCATAATTAAAATATCACGAGAAATACCTCATAATTAGGTACATGCGGAAATATCAATTATCACACATTCATCAATTCATGGCAGTAGTTCCATGATCAAGCAGCTTGGATGTTTGTGAACTAAAGTTATCCAAAGTATGCATGAAAATAAAACTTCCTTGAAATACCTCTACATTTTTTATTCTTACGCAACTTTATTTTCAACAGTGTAATCATCTTTAATCGAATTAAGAAATACCAAATTTTAACCTTAGCTTTAAGTAGATCCTAATTATTTACATTTTTCCGTACCAGTCAACTATTTGTCACGTCATTATTTTAAATATCATCTTCATCTTCATATAGAATTTACAGTAACTTTCTTTTTCAGGCGACAGGTTCAAAATTTTCATGCGATGGAAGGGGTTCTGGGTACTACGCTGATGTAGCTTCAGGATGTCAGGTTAGTAAAAAACTGGTGGTGGTTACGTCAATTAAAGGGGTTTTAAATAAGAGCAGATTAATAAATTCAAAATATAAAGCAATAAGTTTCATTTAAAGAAAAATTTAAAACACTGGTAATCAGTAAAATAATTATAAAGTTTTTTTGCACACTTTAATATGTCTGTAAGAAAATTCCAGGAAAATTGATTTTAAGGGTGTTCGAAAGCGAATAGGCCGTACTTGAGAGAAAATTACAAGTACTAAGATGGTTCTTAAAAAGTCATTAAAAAAAAAATATATTATTTTTTAAAGTAATCGGCATTTTTTAAATTATTTCAATAAAATTTAGCATAAAGGAGTTTCCACCACAATAATCAGTTGCTGAAAACTAAATATGTGGGTGTCTTCTAATCTCATTAAACTTCACCCTTGTTAAATTTGCACTTTTGTTAAATATATTTTATGATTTCGATCAATTTACCTCTATCCATAGGTCATTAGAAGGCGTTAACTTTTGAAATGAAAAGTGGGTCAAAACGGCAAAGAACATTTTAAAAAATGCAAATATAGCAAAAGTTTAATTACCTATATTTGAATAATTGCAGTAGAAAGTTGAGGTCCATTTATCTCTAAAACGATTAACTTTCTGCATATACACGTTTTTTGATAGAAAATGAAGTGGCATTTCATAAAACACCTGCGTTTTTTCAGAATCTATACCGATAAAAAAATACAAGCGCCTGTTTATCTTCCGCTATCTCATAAACCAAAAATTGAAATAATTTGAAAACTGACGTTATTTTAAAAAGTAAATTAACAAACATTTTCCTGAAGACTCGTAATTTCTTGTTCTAAGGCAACTTCACAAACTTTGTTGATTAAAAATAAACTGATTTAGTGATCTAAATCAGTTTATTTTTATTCAAGGAAGCTTTTGAAGAATGGCTCATCCGTTTTCTGATATATTAGCTACTTAACCAATACTAACTTTTGAGATTATCTCTCAGATTTTTTATAGACCTTTCTGCTTCTAACCCTTCAATTTCTATGGATCATTATGTGTAGACACAAATAATATTGTTCGTATCACCTATACCTATTCTACCTAATGTCCTTTATTTAGCACAATTACCTAATACACAAAAGCTTAGAAGCTTAAGAGCACCTTTATCACATGAGGAAGTGTGAAACACCTCTTTGTAGAGGTTGTGTACAGGAAGACGAGAGTATTATATGTGCTATGTGAATGCATTGCCGTCTCGTCAACAAGAGAATCCATGTTGGGAGAGCGCTGGTCTTCTAAGGCCTATATTAGAGAGATCATTTTCTCTGTAATAGGTTGGTTAGCGGCTCAGGTGGATTGATCTCCTAATGGGACGAAGTACAAGGGGCCTAATGGGGCCTAAGTGCTGTAGCTTTAAAAGTTACCTTCTCCACAATTCCAGATTCCAGAAGCTTAACAACTTTGGTATTTTACAATCAGAAAATTACAACTTAACCTTCACAAAACTCTTCCTTGTGCATCAACGTGTCCGCTTAAATATTTTTCACTTTCTCGAAATTTCCATAAGTTTCTAAGAACAGTACGGAACACTATCTAAACTTTTAAGAACTTATTTTAGAAACATGAAACAAATAAATGTATAAACGCAGTACAATAGGATGGTACATTAAATTCAGTTAAATAATTCTAGTTACTTACAGATACTTACATCGTATTTAGAAAATTTATGAAAAAGTATATATTTAAGATGAACAAAATTTTCGAAACATATTTCAGATTAGATTGCAGAACAGATTATAGGGATACTAAATGCATTTATCAAATTCTTGTGGTTATTTAAATTTTTATTATACAGGGTGTCCCAGAATAACGTGTACAACGGAAGATCACCACAGATTTGTGGATTCAAAATACGCAAATTTAGGCTAATTCACATACCCAAAATCGCTTCGTTTGGCCGCTAGATGGCCTCAAAGTTCGTGAAATTTTTTTGAATTTTGTATATAACTCGAATACGTATTAATCGATTTCGATTATTTTTGGGGTGTGGATTTTTGCTTTCAATCTACACATTTTGGTGTTATACAGAGTGCTGTTTTAAACTTACAACTTTCGAGATATTTACAAAATTCAAAAAAATTTTCACGAACTTAGAGGCCATCTAGCGGCCAAACGAAGCGATTTCGGATATAGGTGAATTAGCCTAAATCTGCCTATTTTGAGTCCACGAATCTATAGTCTTCCCTTGTACACATTATTCTGGGTCACCCTGTATAAATAATTATAATACTTTTAGCTATAAAATTCAAAATTAAAAAATCAAATCGTAAAAGAGTGATTGTATTATTGTCCAGACAGTATCTGTTTCAAAAAGCCATATTTGGGTGAATCGTATATCCACGGAGATTTTTGGCTTATTGGCTTTCAAATATCACTAGAAATGAAAGTTTTTCTATGCGCATAAAAAAAATGTGGGCTTAACTTTTGGCGGCACAATATGTTAAAAAAATTCGAAAAATGTCATATTTTTCTTCCTATTTAATTATGTATCTTTTCAAGAGCTGATTTTAGGCGAAAATGGAAGAGGAAAAAAATGTTTGCAATTAAATTTTTTACAAAACATGTCTAGATACAAATCGAATGAATCATGTTTATTATGGTAAAAATCGAAATAATCGCAAAAATGGGGTCAAAAAACAATACTTTTTAGAGATTTTTTTTTGGGGTATTTAAATTGGGTATAGGACCTTTATACTTGGCTCAAAAAAACTTCATGTTATGTAGAATTATCACACCAAATTTCATCAAAATCGGTTCGATATATTTTGCATAATAATTTTGCAATCCAGATTTTGAAAAAAAAAAATTACCAATTTTCTAATTTTTGCACAGCAAAAACCAAGGCCCTTAGATACTTGAAAATTTAAACACATATAGAAGGGCTCTCAAGATTTCAAACTTTTTTTGAAAAATTCGAATCCGTCAATTGGGAGAGCTCTGGCGCTTGTTTAAACATTGGTCGAATTTTGGTACTTATAAACAATTAAAACTTTGTGAATATTCAATCAAATCGAATTTTTTAAAGCAGGTTTTAAAAGTTCTTGGAAAGACGCTTCTTTAAAAAAAAAAAAACAGAACGATTGATCAATTAGTTACGTAGTTATAGCCGATTCAATTTCGAGCAGGCCGAAGCGGCCGCGCTCTCTGCTTCCCTCACCACCACCAAAAGTAAAAACGATTTTATTGAATTTCTCGGTTGCATAAATAACTTTTTAAAGTAGGTTGCCAATGAAGAACAGTATTTTAATCTTAGACCTGGTAAGTACTCGGAATACCAAAAGTATTTTTCAAAAAATTATCCCGGATGTCCCAGTACATTTAGTGTAAATGACGGCTATAACTACGTAACTAATTGATCAATCGTTCTGTTTTTTTTTTAATGAAGCGTCTTTCCAAGAACTTTTAAAACCTGCTTTAAAAAATTTGATTTGATTAAATATTCACAAAGTTCTAATTGTTTAGAGCCAAAAGAAGTTTGAAAGCTTGAGAGCCCTTCTATATGTGATTAAATTTTCAAGTACCTATTAGCCTTGGTTTTTGCTGTGCAAAATTTTGAAAATTTGCATTTTTTTTTTCAAAATCTAGATTGCAAAATTATTATGCAAATTCTATCGAACTGATTTTGATGAAATTTGGTGTGATAATTCTGCATAACATGAAGTTTTTTTGAGCCAAGTATAAAGGTCCTATGTCCAATTTAAATACGCCAAAAAAATTCCCTAAAAAGTATTGTTTTTTAACCCCATTTTTGCGATTTTTTGGTTTTTTACCATAATAATCACAATTCACTCAATTTGTAACTAGACATGTTTTGTAAAAAATCTAATTGCAAACATTTTTTTCCTCTTCCATTTTCGCCTAAAATCAACTCTTGAAAAGATACATAATTAAATAGGAAGGAAAATATGACATCTTTTGAATTTTTTTTTAACATATTGTGCCGTCAAAAGTTAAGCCCACGGTTTTTTTTATGCGCATAGAAAAATTTTCATTTCTAGTAATATTTGAAAGCCAAAAACCAAAAATCTCCGTGGATATACGATTCACCCAAACCAAAACAGATACCGCCTGGTCTATTAGAATATTGTGTAAAGATTAGGACACGTATTACATTAAATGGTATTGTATGATGTTGATAATGCAAACAAATTCAATAATTACCTTACCGATATGTAAATAAACTGTAGGAATGTAAGGCCATTTCAGTTGTAACAATTTGATAATTGTCAACTAAGGAATGCTGCATGCAATTTATAATTTTTTATCTTTGATTTAAATTTGATTGGTTTCTTGAACTTGACTTTGCTTAATTTACCAAAAATTACATTTGCATCATTTAGAATATATTATTTAATAATTACTACTATAGTATTTGTAACCAGTTTTATGACCTGCTTTATATCTTTGATACATGACTTTGTTATAGAAAATTAATAGCTTTTAAATCTCTCTAATATTAATTAAGCTAAAAAGTTTTTCGAAACTAATTTGAAAGTGTAATGAAATCTACTAATAACTTCTTCTGAATCTAAACAATGTATTAAGTAGCATGTGGGTGAAGCACTTATTTCGTAGTTTCGACAGCATTTGTATTAGAACTTACATCATCGTGAGTAAATAGAACAGAAACAAATCATATATATCCCCACAACAAATAGGAGACTAAAAAGGCAATAGTTTATTAAATATTGAATTGAATTATTTCGCAGTTCATTATATCCACCCACGCTGTTATGTAGAAAACATACCTGAAAAGTTTTAAAAAAAATACATAAATAAATAAATAAATAGTATTTTACTTTGTTTAACATTAAATAACATTAAAAAAAATCACATTTTTGTTTTGGTAATATGTAAAGATCTTGTAACCTTGATACTTTATTAAATAACAAATATTATTACCATCGCGAAAATACTGACGTTTTTTAGTAATTCCTTTTTAAGATTAGTTGTTT